GAGCGCGTTCAGACGCAGGTGTGGACGTACTAAACCGTGTGCTATAAACAGTCCTCTGTATTTTAAGCTTAATAAGAGGAAAAACTAGTCTTTGATGTTTACCTGGATATTTTCTATATCCAGTGTTCTTTATTCTTTCCGAAGATCTAAGTTTCCAGCCTGTATATATTTCTCTTTAGCCTGAAGAACTTTGTTTAGCAATTCTTGTACTGTAGGTATTTTGGCAATGAAATTCTATTTTCTTTCTTTAAAATGTTTTTACATTGAACATAGAATTCTGGGTTGACAAGTTTTTTGTTTTGTTTTGTTTTCTCGCGTTTAAAATTGCGTCTGCTGGCTTTCATAGTTGCTGATGAGAAAACAGCTATCATTAGTCATTCTAAATGTTATTCCCTTGTATGTAGTTGTTTCTCTTTTTCTGTTTCAGCTTATTTTTTTTTTTTTTTTTTTGTTTTTTTCTTTTTTTAAGACACTCTGTATGTAAGTAGTCTATTTTTTTTAATCTTTGCTTTTCAACGTGTTGATTATCATGTACCTAGTGTGGCTTCTGTGCATGTAGCTTGCTTGGATTTGCACAGCATCTAGAATCTGCATGTCTCTTGCCAGAATTTGGGAGATCTGGGCCATTATACTTCAAATATTTTTTCTGCCTCACTCTTTTCTATCCTCTCCTTCTGCAATTTCAATTCTTTATATGTTAGAAATTCTAATTACAGACTCACAAGTCCCTGAGGTTTGTTTATTCTGTAAATTTTAAAAATCTTTTTTCTCTCTACTCTTTTATGGATCCGTCTTAGAATTCACATACTTTTTTTTCCTCTGTCATCTTTATTGCTTCTATTAAATAATTCCGAGTGAGAGTTTCAATTTCAATGTTTGTATAGCATAGTATAGGATAGTGATGAGTCAGGGAGATATAGTAGTGATAATATATTTTTTTTTTTTTTTTTCTTTTGAGACAGAGTCTTGCTTGTCGACTGGGCTTAGAGTATGATGGCACCACCCTAGCTCCAGCAATCTCAAACTCCTGGACTCAAGCGCGATTGACTCGCGGTCAGACTGTTTATAGTCAATGGTTGATACTATAAACCAGAAATGAATGTTCAAATTTGAGGCTAACCATTAAAAGAATAAAGATAAAATGATTAGGTTAATTACTAGCAGAGGAGAGAATAGAAACTAGAAAAATATTTATCAATCCAATGGTAAAAAGAAATATAGAAAAAAATAAGATAGGCTGCCGTGGTGACTCATACCTGTAATCCCAGCACTTTGGGAGGCTGAGGCAGGAGGATCACTGGAGGTCAGGAGTTCAAGACCAACCTGAGCAACAGCATAACCTTGTCTCTACTAAAAATAGAAAAATTAGCTGGGCATGATGGGACATGCCTGTAGTCCCAGCTACTTGGGAGGCTAAGGCAGGAGGATCACTTGAGCCCAGGAGTTTGAGGCTACACTGAGCTACGATGATGCCATTGTACACCAGCCTGAGTGACAGAGATACCTATCTCAAAAAAAAAAAAAAGAAAGAAAAAATTTATGAGCTAGAAAATAAAGATATGACAGACAAGATTAATAAATCCAAAAGTTGGGTCTCTGAAAAATCCTAATGAAATAGATAGCTCTGCTAAGAGTCACCCAAGGAAAAAAAAAAGGCGATATGTAGACAATATTTTTAAAAAATGTAACTACAGGTACAATACAGAGTTTAAAATAATAAGAGAAGATCAAATTTCACCACATGATCATCTCAATAGATCCATAACAAGCATTCAAATCCACTCATGCAAGATGTTTTTAAAAATGCATTCTAGAAATATACCTAATTAGTTTCAAATTAGTTAGAAACAGGAGAAAACATTCTTAATCTGATTTAAACATACTATATCAGATTTTGATTCAACGATATCAAAAAATCCAAAAAACAGAAGCGTAAATGAGAAATAATTTTGTTCTCCTTTCACTGGAAATCTACTTAGGCAATCAATCAGAAAACTAATCTAAGATTTTTCTGTCTTATTAGTCTCCTATATCTTGTCTTGGTCCAAGTGGGGTATCCACATTCTAGCCAAAAGAAGGAAAGAAGGGAGAGAAGGAATGAAAGAAGAAAGGAAGGAAGAAGAGAGGGAGGGAGGAAGGAGGGAAAGGAGGGAGGCCGGAAGAACGAGGAAAGGAGGGAGGGATAAGAGGGCAGGGAAGGAGGAGAAGAAGGGAGGGAGGAAGGAGGGGACAGGAGGAGGGAAGGAAAGGAAGGAGGGAAGAGAGGAGAGGAAGGAAAGAAAAAGGAGGGGAAGAAAGAGGGAGGGAGACAAGGGAAGGAAGGAGCGGAGAAGAAGGAGGGGAGAAGAGGGAGCGGGAAGCGAAGGAGGAGGAGGAGGGAGGAAGGACGCGAGAAAAGGGAAGGAAGGAGGAAGGAAGGGAGGAAGGATAAGGTAAGGAACAGGAAGGAAGGGAAGGAAGGACCAGGAAGGAAGAGGAAGGAAGAAGGGAAGCCGAGTAAAGAGAGTGGATGTAGAACTGTCAACAAGAAGGTTCTCAAAAGCTACCACATACTATTTCCATCTAAATCCTACTGACCAGAATGTAGTCATTTGGACACATCTAGTTACAAGTGAATAAAATTATTCTAAGATGTCTCTAAGAGCATAAAAGAAGACAATAAACTGGCAAATATGTAGAAAAGAGACATCTTCAAAAGTTTCTAGTGGGAGTACAAATTGGTCCCATCTCTGTGCAGAGCGATTTGGCAATATCGTTCCAAATGACTAATGCATACACCCTCTGACTCAGAAATCCCACTTTAAAAAATTTACACCACAGATTTCCTGGCACATGAGTAGGTGCAGGATTATTCATCACAGTAAAAGATTAGAAACAACAAAAATGTCCATCAATAGGAAGACAGCTAAATATATAATATACCTTTTTGTGACACAATATTCTTGTGAGATAAATGGGGAAACTCTTTATGTACCAATATAGAATGATTTCTAAGTTATATTAAGTGAATAAACAAAAACCAGATACACAAAAGCATTTGTGTATGCTATCTCATGTGACAGTTTTATTGATTAGGGTTTTGAATGGTAACTCTTGATATCCGAAATATAGGAAATGCCCTATTCCTTTACAAGCCAAAAAGATCCAAAGGAAATATTACAGAATGTCAAAATCTAACACAGCTGTATGGTGGGTAACATAGTTATTCATTACATTAATATTATTGTCTATGTTTATCTATATGCAAAAATAGTTGATAATTTTTTTAAAGTATTACAAATAGAAATGGCACAGATGTCAAAAGACGTCCAGAGAGTAACAAAACATGTCACTAAACAAGTTAACATACGTGAGCATGACATAAATAAGACATAAATACAAGTAACTTATGTTAATAATTTTTATAAAACACAACTGTCTTTTTGCTCAGTTTGTCAAAGATGCTAATGTTTTTAAAACTTTAATCATTTCAATTCCACCATTGAAAAAGATACGAAGGCAAATGATGCCTTCACATTATCTCAAGAAGTTTCAAAATAAATCCAGATTTACCTGCACTAAATTTTGTGTATCTGAACTCAACTCTTTTACTGGCAAAATTTCACTGGAATCAGTTTGAGTCGCATGGTCTGTGTTGAAAAAGCCAACTTTTAAATCATCTGAAATGGTAAGTCTGGAAAAAAAGGAGATTACATATGATTTATGTGATAAATATTTCCTTAGAAATATATGTCAGGGGGCATATTTTTTGTGCAACTCATGTTACATTTTCAATATTTCTAAGGGATTAGTGAGATGCGGAAACCTCTGCATTAACTCTCGAGATTTGCAGGACGGGAGCACATTGCTCTATTGATCCTCATCTTATTTCCACTTTTCCAAGATATGATCAATTTAAGTGCCTTTTTTTTTTTTTTTTTTGAGACAGAGTCTGTTTCTGTTGCCCCAGCTAGAGTGCAGTAGCTTCATCACAGCTCACAGCAACCTCAAATTCCTGGGCTCAAGCAATCCTCCTGCCTCAGCCTCCCGAGTAGCTGGGATTACATGTGCACACCATGATGCCTGGCTAAGTTTTTCAATTTTGGGTAGAGTCAGGGGCTTGCTCTTGCTCAGGCTGGTCTCGAACTCTTGAGCTCAAGCGATCCTCCTGACTCAGCCTCTCAGACTGCTGGGATTACAGATGTGAGCCACAATGCCTGGCCAAGTGCCTTCTTTTAATGTCTTATCACCTGTGCTATTGCTGGGAACAATTACAAATTATGCATGGGTCCAGTCAGCAGAAATTCTTTAAGACAGTGGTTCTCAAAGTGTGGTCTGAGGACCCGGTCCTGGGGTTCCGGGACACTCTTTGTGGGAATCCATGAGATCAAAATTATTTTATGTTAATATTAAGACTCTATTTGTCTCTTTCACTATCCTTCTCTCCCAAATGCTCAGTGGTATTTTCCAGAAGCCACAGCTTACATGACTACCTGACAGATTAAATGCAGAAGCAGCTGTGAAAACTCAGCTGTCTTCCATTAAGCCAGGCGTTAAAGATTTGCGAGAATGTAAAACAATGACACCCTTCTCATTAAAGTCTTTGTTTTGAAAATTACCATTAGTTTTTCTTTAAAGTATGCTATTTATACGAACACATAATTGATTCATCATTATTTCAAATGGATTAATATAAATATATTTTTAACTTCTCCTTTTAACTTTCTAACATGGCAACTATCAATAGATATAATCAACATAAACTCAAGCTCTTTGAGGGCCCCATTCATTTTTAAGAACATAGAGAAGTCTTGAAACCAAAAAGTTTGAGAACTGCTTCTTTAAGATAATCACATCGTGCTCCTGTATTTGATCTTCAAACTCTATTTCTGAAAAATCTGAACAGGGCAGTATGTGCAAATTCCTTCTACAGACCTCTAAGGACTGGCATCTAAACAATGATAAGAAGGCTAATTTCTGGATGCACTCTCTCTGCCACTTTGATCAAACCCACTACAACTACCCGTTTCTAAAATGTCAGCTAAAAACAGAGAGCCAGGAAAGTCCAGATAGAATTATCAGACTTCCCAGAACTGACTCTAGAGGCAGAGTTGGAGCTTCCATCCTGCCCCCTCTGCTGACCAGCCGGAGAAGACCCTGATGGGGGCAACCCCCCTTCTTGCTTGCTAGCAGAGCCTCAGATTTGCACCCTGCAAAACTCAGGGGAGGTTGACCTTATACCCGCTGCCAGGGGCAACTCCCGTCTGGGTTAAGCCCATCACAGCGATCTCATTCTTTTGGCAGTGGATGCCCACGGGTGGGCGCAGAACTCGGTTCTGGTGATGGAGACATTAGGTAAGGTCCGTTGTGGGATTGTTGGAAAGTTCCTACACACGGGGGACCAGAGGAGAGGCCTCTTCTATGACCCTGGACATTGCCACGTGTGCAAGTAATGCCAAGAACTGTGCTAATTATTGGTGACCACAGGAGAGGACACCCAGAGGGCAAGATCAGTTAGTACATAGATGATGAGCTTTCAGAAAAGCTGGAAATAAATTTGACGGATGGGAGACAGACGTGGAAGTGCTGGGAGGCGCCGGCGGCCTGGAGGCCCGTAGCGGGGCTGGCCCATGCACCTGCTGGGCGGCCTCGCTTCCTCGCGTGGCCCTGCTGCAGTCCAGCAGGGCCAGGATGAAAAAGCTCCCCAGGAAGGGCCAGAACGAGACGGACCGGCTGAAGTACCTGCTGCTGCGCAAAGCGGCCAAAGCCACGGTGTTTGAAAATGCTGCTATTTGTGATGAAATTGCTCGTCTTGAGCAGAAATTTCTTAAAGCACAAGAAGAAGGGAGGTACTTGCTAAAGAAGCTCCTCCAGCTTCAGGCTCTAACTGAAGGGGAAGTACAGGCTGCAGCTCCTTCCCACAGCTCCAGTTTGCCCCTGACTTATGGTGTGGCCAGCTCTGTGGGAACCATACAGGGAGCTGGGCCCAGCACTGGGGCTGAGGATCCATTTGGGAAGAAATCCAAGAAGGAGAAAAAAAGAAAAAGGCAAAGAGAACAACAAACTGGAAGATCATCACCGACCGACCTGGCTTCCATGACGAAAGTGCCATCCACCCTGTGGGCTACTGCAGTACTCGAACATACGCCAGCATGAAGTGCCCAGACCAGAAGTGTCTCTACACCTGTCAGATCAAGGATGGTGGTGTGCAGCCTCAGTTTGAAATTGTTCCTGAAGATGCCCCCCAGAATGCCATTGTCAGCTCTTCTGCAGATGCTTGTGGTGCAGAACTGCTCAAGACCATAAGTGCTACTATGGGAAAATCAATACCTAACCTGCTTCCAACTGGAGCTGACTTCTTCGGGTTTTCTCATCCAACCATCCACAACCTGATCCAAAGTTGTCCAGGAGCTCGAAAAATGCAACAATTACCAGTGGGTGAAATTTGATGTGTGCAAACCTAGAGATGGGCAGCTACCACAGGGACTGCCAGAGAATGATGCATCTATGAGCTTTGAAGCCTTTCAGCAAGAGACCTTTGATGAAGATCATAGTGATCCCATTCTGCCAGGATCCTTGGACCTTCCAGAGCTTCAGCCTGCAGCCTCTGTGTCTTCTTACCAGCCCGAGTTCCTGACACATGAACCCTTGGTAGACACTCACCCGCAGCACTTGAAGTCCCCGTCGCAGTGTAGCCCAATCCAATCTTCAGATTGAACAAGAAGGGATCAGATACCACATATTTTCATCATGATGAATTTTTTTCATTTAAACTAAAATTTAGAATATATGGAAGAAGGCAGCAATTCAGGAGTAAAGAAGATATTAAATTAACACATTTCATCATGGAGGCTCCCATGGTGAAAGTTTACCCTGGAAAAAACTTCAGCGGCTTTATTTTTAGTAATAAATTTCTCTTTACAATTCTGCTTATTTTCATCTTGTTGTAATCAGGATGTAATCTTTGCTTAGCTCTGCCTGAGACAGAGTACACTTCAGTCCTTTATAAACCACAATAAGATGGACCCGTTGTCTTAGTCCATTTGGGCTGCTGTAACCAAACGCCATAGACTAGGTAGCTTATAAACAAAACGAATTTACTTCTCACATTTCTGGAGTCTAGAAAGTCCAAATTCAAGGTGCCAGCAGACACGGTGTCTGATGACGGCCCAGTTCATAGTTCATAGCTGTCTTCACATTGTGTCCCCACATAGTGGAAGGGGCAAAGGAGTTCTCTGAGGTCCTTTTTATAAGAGCACTAATCCCACTGATGGGGGCTCTGTCCTCACGACCTAATCACCTCCCAAAAGTCCCACCTCCTAATACCATCACATTGGGGGTTAGGATTTAACTGAACAAATTTTGCAGGGACACAGACATTAAGTCTATAAGCAGCTGCTGACTAATAAGGGACACAGTAAAATTCTGACAAACTTCTGGTCTTGATTCTGATCCTAGTTCAAGGAATAGCAAATCCCAGCCCCTGCAACCCAGGCTGCTGCTTTATTTTCGTGTCAATATCATCAAAACCAAATCTGCTTGCCATCAGGATGGAAAGTCCAGTGCAGGGTACCGTTCATCTTTTTCTTCATATGTTGCACATCTTTCAGGGGGATCAAAAATTCCTCTTTCACCGTGTCTGTCCTCCCTTCGTTCCTTATTGGGGAATGTGCTTTTAGCTTGTTATGTTGAAACCATACGATAACATAAATTCAGGTATAACATAATGGGGATTCGTTCTCATCCTCCATAACAGACTCATTCCTGTCATTTCATTAACCATGTAACGAGATAACTCCATGTTCAACACAACTGAATTTTTTGGACCCTGTTTGTAGCATTATGGTGGAGGTTTACTGCATCACTTAATCACAGTCAGTACAACTCCACACTATCTTGTGGGCTGCTACCCATGCAACACGGACCCAGGGCTGGCTGGAATGGGAGGGGATGAAAAGATCGGAAGTAGAAGAATCGGGAAGGGCTGGTGATGGTGAGAATTGAATTGTTAGTGTGCTGCCACTCAACTGCCAACACATTTTATAGTAGTGAATCTGACCAGCAAAGGAGAGGACCAGAGCTTAGAGCACACACACTGGCCACTGTAAACTCAGAAACTATAATAAGTTAACTGGTATTAGTTTGAGTCTAAGTTTCGTTTTTTTTAATAAGTTTGGATAACTTTTATAATGTAAAAGAAACAATCTAATAAAATTTGGACAAAGCAAGCCAGGGGTGGGAAAGGGATTACTCAAACTGTTAATGTTTTAATGTTTTTCTTTTTTCTCTGCATAAGTTGCTTGAGCATATTTGCACTTATAAGGAAATGATGTATGCTGCTTTTGTCATATAACAAATATTTTTATGTGCTACTCAGTTTAGAAAGACATTCAAATTTTTTTAATAAATTAGTGTAAGTTTCCCAGAAAAAAAAATAATAAATTTGACGGATGACTTTGTTCCACTCTTGACTCAATTAGCTCTGACACCTGTCAAACCTCGGGTCTTCCTGGGACATCAGATAATAAATGCACCCAGTGTTGGCAGTTTCTGTCTACTATAGCTGAAAGCATCCTAACTGACACTCTACTCTGTGACATTAGGAAAATTAACGTTTCTGTGCCTTAGTTTCCTCTGTGCAAAGTAACAGTGCCTACTTTGTAGGGTTATTATAATGATTAAGTGTGTTAAGAC